CGAGGTGGTGGTCAAGACAGCCGCGTCAGCGGTTGTCTTTTTCGCCACTTCGCGCGGCTGCCTGGAAGCCGCGCGAGGGGCGGAAGGCTCCTCGGAAGGCGCCGGGGAGCCTCCGCCCAGCAGGACCTCGACGCCAGTGGCGAGGTCCTCGCGTGACTCCTCGGCAGCCCGTTTCGGGCGACGGGCGGTTGTCCCGGGCAGAATGTTGGCGTTCGCGGCGACGGGAGTGTCTGTCGCCTTGTTGCCCTCGCGATTAGCAGTGTTGTTCGCCGGCGCCATGGCTCCGATGTTGTACTTAAAAATATCCGCAAGTAGAGTCGTCGGGGCGGTGAAGCGAGGGAGGGACTGCGTCTTCGCCAGACTGGACGAGATTGAAAAAATGATTTTTTTTGAAAGTGTGTAACACTTTCTAAAAATGTGTATTGTGAAAGCGCAGCTTACTGTAGCGAAGCAAGGCAACGGCGAATTACTATTCGCCGAGTACATAACGAGGGTTAGAGGCCTTTTGGCCTCCACCCACGTCTTCATTTCGGAACTTTGCAGTTCCATTCTCGTCCAACCACCTCGTCATTCCACTTTCTCCTAGCACTCTCGTTCAAATTTCTCATTCATAGCTCTCCTTTTTATAGAAGGCGATGGCGCTTTGCACCAGAACGCCGATTTTAGGAGACGGCTTATACGCGCCCACAGCTGTACCTTCTGCCAGTGGGCGCGCGTGACCCAGCGGGCCGGACTAAGTGACAAAATCGCCTCAGGCGCGCCTGTGACGAAATCGCCTCAGGCGCGCCTGAGACGAAATCGCCAATGGTGCGCCTAAGACGAAATCGCCTGTAGTGCGCTCGAGACAAAATCGCCAGCTCCCCTGAGACGAAATCGCCAGCTCCCCTGAGACGAAATCGCCAGCTCCCCTGAGGCGAAATCGCCAGCTCCCCTGAGACGAAATCGCCATAGGCACGCCTGACGACAAAAACGCAACTGGCGCGCCTGACGACGAAACCGCCAGTGGCGCGCCTGGCGACGAAATTGCCTGACGAGATTGCCACCAACGAGACTGCCAACGAAATCGCCACCAACGCGACGAATGACGATATCGCCACAGTCGAGCCTGACGAGATGGCAAGGGCGTGTCTGCAAAAAATTGTGGTGTGACAAGGCGAAAACGCCACGGACATGACGGGACGCCTCCGCTACATCAACCGCTGCAACTTCTACCGGCAATGCGGGCGTGACGCCTGCACTGTTATTATCATTTTTTATTGCAACACGGGTATGTGTTTCCATTTTTTCAAATTGGTCAATAATTATATGTCTTCTCCACTCTGGTTTTCACTGATCGCAGTTTGCAGGAATATCTGCGCACGGACGAGTGTCAACGCTTGGCACATCCCCGCGTCGTTCCTAGGAGGGGAAGAGGACCGAGGGTCCCGGCTGGCCAGAGGGCCGTTCCCCATGGGGGGAAGGGGACCGAGGGTCCCGGCCAACCAGAGGGCCGTTCCCCATGGGGGGAAGGGGACCGAGGGTCCCGGCTGGCCAGAGGGCCGTTCCCCATGGGGGGAAGGGGACCAAGGGTCCCGGCTGGCCAGAGGGCCGTTCCCCATCGGGTAAAGGGGACCGAGGGTCCCGGCTGGCCAGAGGGCCGCTCCCCATGGGGGGAAGGGGACCGAGGGTCCCGGCTGGCCAGAGGGCCGTTCCCCATGGGGGGAAGGGGACCGAGGGTCCCGGCCAACCAGAGGGCCGTTCCCCATGGGGGAAAGGGGACCGAGGGTCCCGGCTGGCCAGAGGGCCGTTCCCCATGGGGGGAAGGGGACCAAGGGTCCCGGCTGGCCAGAGGGCCGTTCCCCATCGGGTAAAGGGGACCGAGGGTCCCGGCTGGCCAGAGGGCCGCTCCCCATGGGGGGAAGGGGACCGAGGGTCCCGGCTGGCCAGAGGGCCGTTCCCCATGGGGGGAAGGGGACCGAGGGTCCCGGCTGGCCAGAGGGCCGTTCCCCATGGGGGAAAGGGGACCGAGGGTCCCGGCTGGCCAGAGGGCCGTTCCCCATGGGGGGAAGGGGACCGAGGGTCCCAGCTGGCCAGAGGGCCATTCCCCATGGGGGGAAGGGGACCGAGGGTCCTGGCCAACCAGAGGGCCGTTCCCCACGGGGAGGGGACCGAGGGTCCCGGCTCGTGACATGCGGAGATAGAGAGAGAAAGAGACACGAGAGCTGGCACACGGGTCATTGTGCCAAGGAAGGAGTATATGCACATTGGGACAAGCTTGTGATATGTAGAAAAAAAGGGGACTTACCCTATGCCATCCTTGGCTGCCGGTATAATGCCTTTCAAAATTGTTTTTGCCCTGGTACGTGTCCTTGTATGTGCCTTTGTATTGATTGTCCAAGACAGATCTTGCGGAATTGGTTACATTATAAAATGCTCGAATTGAGAGCCTTGGTTACAAACCACCTTGAACATGGCTTGAGAAACGATTGTCCTTGTCGAAAGGAATCTACAATGGCTTTAAGCTTTTAATATGCTGCCCTTGACTCAAACAAGGAATGGAGATACACCTGCTCTCACATTGAGTCCGAGGTTTTGAACACAAAAACAGACATTACCGTGCAAAGGGACAGTAGTATCGTGAATTCCGACGACGCGACCCGACACTGGCATGAAATTAAAGCCATCCAAGTTAGAGTTGGGGTAGTGTTGCTTGTGATCACTTATTTCTGCCTTGTTGTGATGTTTCTGGAACTCCCACATTAGATGACATACTCATGATTGATTCTAGGTGTGATGTGTACATAGTACGCAGTTCTGTAAAAGTATCCTGGCTGGAACATTTATTCTCGTACGGGTCTTTATTGCTCATTCATACGGTACATACCGCACGATCATTCACCATCTGATGAACTTCTCAAAGTCCCTAATGGTAATAAAAAGCCATACCGGTACCTCTGCGTTCACACTCCTCCTAGCGCAGCTCTCGCGCCGCATGCGCCCATCCCAAGCCATCCCGCCTGCTAATCCACTTGGTGATTTCATTCTGACGATCGTATGCCAGTCATGAGGCCTCATTGGCAATCTTGGCCTCTCGTGTGCTCTCGTGGACAATCGCGAACGTGAAAAGCAGCTCTTGACAATAATTATAGAGTAGTCACTAACGCTAACTCCGTCATACAAGAATTACTTGCATGCAATTTCGCTCTGTCATCCACACGTCAATCACGCGGCATCATCGGGAGACGTCGAACATCCACGCCCTCAACAGCTAACATCAACCACCAGTTTCAACCACACTCTTCTGCTGCACCAATAACCAGGGACATCTACATCAATGGAACGAGCAACCGTCATACACAACATTCCGAAACCCAACGGCATGGCGATCGCATCGCAACCAACGCACGCCACATCTCTCAGCAATTCGTCGAGGCCATCAACCACAACAAGACTCAACACGTCTTCACCGCTCCTAACTACACATGTCTCAGTAAACCCAACTGTAATGAAGCACGTTGCCTTTGCAAGAACAGAAAGCAAGCTTTCTCAATATGATTTTTTTTGAAAGTGTGTAACACTTTCTAAAAATGTGTATTGTGAAAGCGCAGCTTACTGTAGCGAAGCAAGGCAACGGCGAATTACTATTCGCCGAGTACATAACGAGGGTTGGAGGCCTTTTGGCCTCCACCCACGTCTTCATTTCGGAACTTTGCAGTTCCATTCCCCACCCACCCACCCTAGTCATATACTTGTAAAATCTATAATTAGGTTGGACGAGAATGATGTAATTACTGCAACTGTAATGAAGCACGTTGCCTTTGCAAGAACAGAAAGCAAGCTTTCTCAATCTCAAACTTCGAAATTGAAAAGAAGAACGTGGGTGAGGCCGAATGGCCTCAACCCCCTCTTTTGTAGCCAAAAGAGGGCGAGTAGCGATGCGACGCTGCCTTTGCTGCGTTGGCAATCGCTACACTTTCACAATACACAATTTTGAAAAGTGTTACACACTTTTAAAAATTTACATGTTACACTGATGTATCAGTGTAACGAAAAATTACACACTGATCAGAAGGGTTTTGAAAAATGCCACACTGCTAATCGTGAGTAGCCAAAAACCAAACGTAGGCCCTGGGCTGCACGTAACACGAAGTGCATACTTGTGAATGGACAGGAATCACGAGTGTGCGGTATGAGTCTTGATCCACGGATGCTCTGAAATGGGGAAGCATGGGGCGTATGTATGGGAGAGAGGGGAATGGCGGAGGAATATTTAGTCGACTCAAAGAAATGAAAAGAAATTGAATGGGGAGGGTATCACGAGTGTGCAGTATGGGACTTGATCCACGGATGCTCTGAAATGGGGGGCCAATGGGGTGTATGTATGGAGAGAGAGAGAGGGATGAGGAGGAAGAGGAGGGGGAGAGGAGGGAGGGACGGAATGGATGGGGAAGGGAAAGGGGGAGGGAGGGAGGGAGATTGGGAGGAAGGGAGAGTGGGAGGAAGGGAGAGTGGGAGGGAGGGAGAGTGGGAGGAAGGGAGAGTGGGAGGAAGGGAGAGTGGGAGGGAGGGAGAGAGAGAGCGAATTTGAAAGGGGATGGTGCAGGAAATTATGGATACACGAAGGACAGCAAGGATATGATCAAGTGAGGATATGATCAAGTGAGGACATGATCAAGTGAGGATATGATCAAGTGAGGATATGATCAAGTGAGGATATGATCAAGTGAGGATATGATATGACTCGATAGCCAAGTGGAGAGAAGTGTTGAGAGAGAGGGATAACCAAGGTCAGAAGTGAAAACTAAGATGTTACTAGTAAATTCAACTGACTAAGAGTGTTGATGGAGGGACAACACGGGGGCAGATGGGAAGCTGGGACTTATGCAGCAGAGGGAGGATGGTGTGTAGATCTGGAGATGGCAGAGGAGAGTGCGAGGGAGAGGATGGTTGACGTATGGAGTCGCATGGTCTGAGGAGTGGTAAACGACAGAGCAGCAGTGCTTAGTGAAAGGTGAACTTACCAAGCACAGCATCCAGTGTGATTCTCTCCTCTGGGTCTTTCTTAAGCATCTCTTTTATAAGTTCCTTGGCCTCCGAGGATATGGAAGGCCATGGAGGGAAGGAGAAGTTGAGAGGCTTGGATATGATCGCATCCAGCACTCCCGATTCTGTGGAGGCCCAAAAGGGCGGCACGCCGGCCAGAAGGACGTATAGGACGACTCCCGCCGACCAGACGTCGGCCTCAGCACTGTAGCTCTTGTTGATCACTTCTGGTGCCATGTACATGTGGGATCCTATGAACTCCGTTAGCTTGGCGCCTGTGAGGGGGGAGGGAGGAGAAGGACAGGGAAGGAACAAGAAGGGAGGGAGGAACAAGAAGGGGATGGAAAGGGGGTTGGGAGAGGAGCGAGTGAGAAAAGGGTGCTGCCATGTGAAAGAGACAGTGAGGGCGATCCCAATGCTCTCAACCCAATGCCTCACCTGATTTGATCGTAGCAGCAATCCCAAAATCCGTGACTTTAACAGCGACGTCATCAGTGGGGGAGCAGAGCAGCAGGTTCTCAGGCTTCACATCGCGGTGCATGACCCCCAGGGAGTGGCACGCCCGCAGCACCAGACTCAACTGCTGCAGCACGGCGGCTGCTGGTTTCTCCTCGTAGCGGCTGCGCTGCTTGATGCGATCAAAGAGGTCCCCGCCCTTGCAGAGCTCCATGATTATATGCACGTGCTGGTGGGGGGGAGGGGACGGGGTGGGGGGACTTTTGAGTTGACTCAATAGTCAACTCAACGCTTGATGCGATCAAAGAGGTCCCCGCCCTTGCAGAGCTCCATGATTATATGCACGTGCTGCTTGTGGGGGGAGGGGGGGGGGGGGGGTGGTGTGGGGGGATTGGGGGAGGAGAGAAGGAGGGAAAACAGGTCGACTATTGATGTGATTAAAGAGGTCCCCACCACATGCGGATGTTTGGGGTTCGGGTGTAAGGTTTGGGGTATACACGCACCTACAATGCAACACAAACACCTCAACAGTCTCTTTCATCTCCGCCACAGGTGGATGTTTGGGCTTTATGGTGTAAGGCTTCTAGGGTGGAAGTTTTAGGGTATACACGCACCTATCATGCAACACAAACACCCACACACACACACACACATACACACATACCGTGTCATCTTCCACTGTCTCTTTCATCTCCACCACATGAGCATGCCCTCATATCATCAGCCCCCTATGCCATACATGCACACACACACACACACGCACACGCAACCCCCCCCCCCCCCCCCCCCCCCCCAACACACACACATACCGTGTCATCTTCTACTGTCTCTTTCATCTCCACCACATGAGCATGCCCCTTCAGCAGCCGCATCACTGCCACCTCCTGCTGCAACGCTGCCACTGCTGCCTTGGTCTGAAGGGGGTGGAGTGGGAGCGTGGGGGTGCATGGGGGGCGAATGGGGGATTGAGGCTTTGTGGGAAGGCATGGGGCGAAAGTGGCAAGGAGGAGTGGAAGAGGGCGCTGCCCCTTCAGCAGCCGCATCACTGCCACCTCCTGCTGCAACGCTGCCACTGCTGCCTTGGCCTGAAGGGGGTAGTGAGGCAATGGGGGAATAAACGAGAGGGTGAGTGGGGGAATGGGGGAGCGGGGGGAGATTGAGGGTGGGTTGGGACGTGAGCCCCTTCAGCAGCTGCATCACTGCCACCTCCTGCTGCAGCGCTGCCACTGCTCTTGGTCTGAAGGGGGTAGTGGGGCAATGGGGGAATAAACGAGAGGGTGAGTGGGGGAATGGGACGTGAGCCCCTTCAGCAGCTGCATCACTGCCACCTCCTGCTGCAGTGCTGCCACTGCTGTCTTGGTCTGAAGGGGGTAGTGGGGCAATGGGGGAATAAACGAGAGGGTGAGTGGGGGAATGGGACGTGAGCCCCTTTAGCAGCCGCATCACTTCCACTTCCTGCTGCAGCGCTGCCACTGCTGCCTTGGTCTGTGAGGGTGGTGGGAGAGTAGGGAATGGGGGGAAGGGAGAATGGAGGGAGAGAATCAATGCCCCTTCAGCAGCTGCATCACTGCCACCTCCTGCCTCAGCTGCCTTTGTATGAAGGGAGGCGTGGGGGGGGGGGGGAAGCAGATAAATGGGGAAATGGTGGATTGAGGTGGAATGGGGAGTGGGGGGATGGGCAACAAGAGGAGCAAGTGAATGGATGAACAGGGATAGAGGATTGCGTGGGTTGGTAAATGGGGGTTTTGGGGTAACTCGGGCAAACAGCCCTTGTATTTCTCTCACACCTGGATCTGCTCCTTCCCAATGCCCTTGCACGCCCATGTCTTCCCCGTCTCCTTCTCCCTCACCGCCCGGATCATCCCATACGACCCGCTCCCGCATGCACACATGCACAAATGCATTCAGATGCACACACACACACTTTTGAGACGTCTCAAATGCATTCAGATGCACACACGCACTTTTGAGACGTCTCAAATGCATTCGGATGCACACACGCATTCGCACGCACTCTCACACCTGAATCTGCTCCTTCCCAATGCTCTTGCACGCCCACGTCTTCCCCGTCTCCTTCTCCCTCACAGCCCGAATCATCCCATACGAACCGCTCCCGATCTCCTGCTTAACTAAGTACCGCTCCTGCAGAGAAGAAATCTCCCCGCCTAAAAGCCCCACTTTAGTAGGTCGCCAGGAGCCTATGATTCCCCTCGGAGACAGCATGCTCGATAAGAAGCTGGATTTAAAGCCCGAGGACGATGGGGTGTGGGGAGAGACAGGCATTTCGATTCGTAATGGGCTGAGGTTCTGGTTCTGGTTGCTGCTGTTGCTGCCATCCTTGCTGCTGCTTCTACCTGGGGTGCTGCTGCTCTGACTATTATCAGCTGCAAGCGCAATAGAGGATGATTTCCCCCCGTCCTTGCTCCTCTCCCTCTCCTTCTCCCTCTCCTCCTCCTTAGTACGCTCCTTCCCCACCCGCCGCCCTTTCTCCCTCGCCTTCTCCTTGCCACTCCCGCTCACCACCACCACAGTCAAACTCCCCGCACTCTCACCAGACCGTCGAAACCCCCCCTCTCTCACCCGCCCCCGCCCTCCCCGTCCCATCCCCCCAGTGTCACCCACTGAGGCGTTATCCAAGCCCCCAAGCGGTTCCTCTGTAAGGTCAAAGCGCAGCTCGCCCTGAGACATCCCTCTTCTGTCCTTGGAGCTACGCCAAGGGCTTTTCGCCCTGCTGCTTCTGCTCGAGACTTCGGTACCAGCAGCACCAGCAGCACCACCACCACCACCAGCAGCAGAAGCAGCACTACCAGAAGCAGCACCACCAACAGCAGCAGCGATGGCAGCGGAAGCAGCAGCTGAAGCAGACTGCTTCTGCCGATGATCCTCAAAGCGAGACGAGGCTGCACCTGCTGCTTTCAGATCCAGCTTCAAATCCATCACCGTCGTCTCAAAATCGGGCAGCAAACTCTTCTCAGCTGCCCGGAACAATGTCCCGCCAGTCTTCCCCCAGGACCGTCCCGGAGTGATCGCTCCACGAACCTTTGACACATCAAAGCCAGCAAAGCCCTCACAGCCTGCAAGGGCTCCAGCAGCAGAGGGCTTGATGAGAGGATCAGAGGGGTCGCCGCCGCTGGTGGATTTGAGGTCTTTAGAGCGACGCATGGTGGCGTAGACCTTCTCGTTGCTGCGAGCCAAGGCACTGTCTCGCTTGGAGAGCTTCGAGAGAATCTCTTTCCTTGCTCTTCTCTCCTTGCGCTCCCCACCCTCCTTCCGATCCCCACCCTCCTTCCTTTCTCCACCCCGTACCGCGTCCTCCTTGGCTTCCCCATCACGTGCTCTTCTCGACTCCGCCTCGTTCTCCTTAGGCTGTTTCCCACCTCCACCCTCAACTTCTGAACGATCTTTAGTCTCCTTGGTCTCCTGCTGCTGTTTGCCCTCGTTCCCTCTTCCGTCCCTGCTCCCTTTCCCTTTCCCTCTCTCCATACGCCCTCCATCTCCCTCTTTCCCTTCCCCACTATCGGTCTCCCTGAAAGAAGCCCTGCCTCGGGAGCTATCCCTCCTCTGCTCTCTCCCTCCATCTTTCTCTCCTCGCCTCTCTCCTCCCCCATCACCTCCCCCACCTCCTCCTCTATCTCCTCCCCCACCTCCTCCCCCATCTCTTCCCCCATCTCCTTCCTCATCCTCTTCCCGCTCCTGCAACTGTCTCATTAACAACATCTCAGCTGCACATGCCTGCCTGCCGCCTCCCCTCCACTCGCTTCTCCCCCTCTCACCTCCCCCCTTCTCTCCCATCCTCCTCTCCCCATCCATCCCCTCCACACCCTCATCTCCCTCCTCCTCCCAGCCCAGCTCCTCCTCCCCCCCTCTCGACCTCCTCCCTACTCGCAGCTGCCGCAGCCGCCGCTCCCGGCGCCGCCTCTGCTGCTCTTTCTCATCATCAGTATGATCCCTGATTAACGAATTCTCCAATAACGAGTCTCTCCTGCCCTGGCCTTCCTTGAAACTTCTGGGGCTTCTTTGCTTGCTCCCTGTCCGGCTTTTACCAGGAGATTTACCAGGAGTTCTAGGGCTTCTGCTCTTAGTCACCTCACCAGCACTTGCCACTCGCACCACCATCACTCTCCCCCCATCCTCATCATCCCCCTCATCCCCCTCGTCCCCTTCATCGCCATCATCCCCACCTTTCAAAGGAACAAGGCTTGACACCCATTTCTCCACAACCTTCCGATTTGTATCATAACTCTCCTGCTCTTTTTCCTTTTCAATCTCCTTTGCTCTCTCCCCCTGTCTTCCTCCCAATCTTCCCCTCCCTCTCTCCCCACCTCTCTCCCTGCCTCTCTTTCCCCCTCTCTCCTCAACCTTGCCACGTGTGCTCGTCTCAACCTTGCCACGTGTGCTGCTCTCCTCCCTGCCACGTGTACTGTTCTCAACCTTGCCGCCAACTGTCACATCTGATTCACTGTCGCTCAATCCCACACCCTTCACCCCTGCTTCAATATAATCAGCCACCGCAAAACTAATAGCTGATTTGGCTCGCCTGTGCCTCCGAGACGTTGCGTCTGCAGCAGCAGAACCAGCAGCAGCAGCACTGGAAGCACCAGGGCCAACAGCAACACCAACAGCTGACCTCCTATCCTTCCTGGAACCGTCTTCAACACTGCGCCCGGCACTACCATCCCCCCCAGCACCAAAGCTGGGTGCTTGCTTCAGGCTTCGAGAGGAAGCAGAGACTACGAGCTTCCTGCTGCTGCTGCTGCCCCTGCTGCTCACACTCACAGGATTACTACCCTCCGCGGGTCCAGAAAACCGGGCGGAAGAAGGGGCAGAAGAAGCGGCGTCAGGTGGTAGAAGCGGGTTTGCAACGGGATGCTCGGGAGGCACAGGGGCGTGACGCGGAGAGAGAGGGAAGCGGGACGGAGGCAGTGAGTGGTGTGGGTCAGTAGGGGGGAGAGAGAGAGGTGAGAATGCAATGGCGTCCATACTTCTGTTAGATGACCGCATTCGGAAGCGATCCTTCAACTGGGACCAAAGCCGCTTATCAGGCTTATCAGGCGTGTCTACCTCTTTAATCTTATCCTCTTCCTTCTCCTTCTTTCCCTCCTCGCCCTCCTCCTTCTTCTGCCCTCTCCCTTTCGTTGTCTCATGCTTCCTCCCCCTCTCCCCCTCCGTTTCCTTTTATCCTTCTTTTGCAGCTGCGGGCTCCCCAGCCTCGATACTGTCCGACTTTTGCGGCTGTCCTGTACCATCTTTTACTCTAAACGAGTCAGAGGCTTTAAAGGATCTTGTTCCTTGGCTCCGCGTTCTAGGAGTTAAAGCCTCACTCTTAGGGGCGGTTGAGCTGAAAACGGATGTACCTGTTTTGGGTGTACCTGCCCTGGGTGTAACTGCCCTGATTGTGCCTTCTTTAGGTGTACCTGCCCTGGGTGTACCTGCTCTAGGTGTACCTTCCCTGGGTGTACTTGCCTTGGGTGTTCTACACGAATCAATATCTTCGCTCTGACACGCTGGTACATCCACGGTCAATCTCCTGCTGCCACGTGGCGTGGCTCTACCAATATGAGGAGAGGGAGTGAGAGCGTTAAGAGAGGAGGAAAAGGGAACAATAGGGCGGGGGGAGTGGGGAGTGTGAGAGTGAGGAGAAGGAGGAGGGGGATTTGATTCGTTGGTGCAAGGAGAAGGAGGAGGGGGGTTTGATTTGTTGGTGCGAGGAGAAGGAGGAGGGGGCAGAGATTCGTTGCTGAGAAGATGATCCACTGGGATGGCCTCTGCAGACGCCCACAAGCGGCGGAGAAGCAGTGAGGAAGGATCCTTCGAAGTGCTAGGGGTTTTCCCAGGTGTGTCAGGTGCTTTGGACCCACTTGGTACTCGCTTGAATTTGTGGCTACTGCTGCCGCTGCTGCTGCTGCTGCTGCTGCTGCTGCTGCTGCTGCTGCTGCTGCTGCTGCTGCTGCTGCTTGTCGTGGGAGTGGTGGTAGTGGGAATGGTGGTAGATGCAGCGTTGGTGGTGGGGGTACTGCCGCCGCCACTACTGCTGATAACACCGCAGAGCACACTGTCCAGGGGAGGGTGGAAGCTGCTTAACGGAGGGTGGGGAGGAGGATGCACTGAAGGGTGGAGAGAACGGGGAGTAGAAGCACCCGTGGAGGCAATTACACTGAAGTTGAAGGGTCCTGCAACTGTGGACGAAACAGCAGAATAAGCAGTGTGCTGCTGCTGTTGCTGCTGCTGCATGGGTTGCACACCGTGCTGCTGCTGTTGCTGCATGGGTTGCACACCGTGCTGCTGCTGTTGCTGCATGGGTTGTTCACCGTGCTGTTGTTGTTGCTGCTGCTGCTGCTGCTGCTGCTGCTGCTGCTGCTGCTGCTGCTGCTGCTGCTGCTGCTGCTGCTGCATGGGTTGCACACCGTGCTGCTGCTGCTGCTGCATGGGTTGCACACCGTGCTGCTGCTGCTGCTGCATGGGTTGCACACCGTGCTGCTGCTGCTGCTGCATGGGTTGCACACCGTGCTGCTGCTGCTGCTGCATGGGTTGCACACCGTGCTGCTGCTGCTGCTGCATGGGTTGCACACCGTGCTGCTGCTGCTGCTGCATGGGTTGCACACCGTGCTGCTGCTGCTGCTGCATGGGTTGCACACCGTGCTGCTGCTGCTGCTGCATGGGTTGCACACCGTGTTGCTGCTCCAGCTGCTGCAGCTGTAGCTGCAGCTGTAACAGCTGCTGCTGCACCTGTTGTATCTGTGGGTGCTGAATCTGCTGCTGCTGCTGCTGCTGCTGCTGCTGCTGCTGCTGCTGCTGATGCTGTTGCTGTTGTTGCTGCTGTTGCTGTTGCTGCTGCTGCTGCTGCTGCTGCTGTTGCTGATGCTGTTGTTGCTGTTGCTGCTGTTGCTGCTGTTGCTGTTGCTGTTGCTGCTGCTGTTGCTTCTGTTGCTGCACCTGCTGCGCCTGCTGCATTTGCAAGAGCTGAATCTGCTTCACATTCATCTGCTGCTGCTGCTGCTGCTGCACCTGCTGTAGCTGCTGCTGCTGGTAACCTACCACTGCACTTCTCATCCCATCACTCCCCAAGGGCTTACACACCAGTAAAGCCTCATCCCCGTCTTCTTCCCTCTCTTTCTGAACTACTTTCGCCCTGTCACTTCTTTCTGCTGCTACATAACTCGACCCACTCCCTTCCTTTGAGTTTTGAGAGCTCTGCGACGTTGCAAAACTTGACACACTCCCATCACTTTCCTCCAAAGACTCACTGCCTGCTACCCCTCCTCGCCCCTTGCTACCCCCAACAGCAGCAGACAAAGATTCGTGTGGCGCCTTGCTACCCCCAGCAGCTGCAGCAGCAGGCCAAGACTCGTGCAAGTCTTCAGCATCAGGCGTGACCAGCCCATACAGGTCCCCCTGAGACTCCCCACTATCACATGCCCCCTCTGCATCCCACACTTTCCGCAGCATCAGGGAGGGAGACGCTGGGGAGAGCGGGAAGGAGAAGGGGGAAGGGGGAGCGAGAGGGTGGGAGTGCGAATGGGGGATTGGAGGGAGGAAAGGGAAGGGTTGCGAGAGGAGGGAGGGGGGAAGGTGTGCGGTTTGCAGGTGGGGAGATCCTGGTGGTGCAGGGAGGGAGTGAGGTAAGTGTGGATGAGACGACGAGGGGTGGGGCGACTCACGATTTGACGAATTAGGGTTTGCAGGCCAGGGGTAGGAGAACTCGGGGTTCGACAGGGACATGTGCATGGGCAATGGCATGGGCACAGGCATGATGGACATGGGCACAGGCATGAGCACGGGCTTCTGAGGAGGGCTTGGGCTGACTTGGGGGAGGCTGATCTGCTGCTGCGGGAAAGCTTGAGGGGAAGCTAGAGGAAAAGCTTGAGACGTAGAAGCTCCAAGCACAAGTGGGGGTGGAGGATGGAGTAAGTGTTGCTGCCATGACGGATTTGGAGCAGTAGGAGGGGCGGAGGCGGGCGGACGGGCTAAGAGGAGCTGCTGCTGCATGGTTGGGTTGCCGTGAGGACTCAGCAGCAAGATCACGGGGTCTTGAGATGCATCTGCTGCAGTTGCCGTTGCTGCCATTCCTGCTGCCGCTGCTGATGCCGCTGCTACTGCTGCTGCAGCTTTGCCTGTTGTTGCTCCACTTTCCCCAGCCGACCCCAGCCAGCCAGAGGTGAAGGACAGTCTTCTGTACACTGCATCATCCCCCGTCTCCTCTTGTTCGTCCTCACTCTGTTCCTCCCCTTCATCAGCCCTCTTTTCCTCTCCCACTTCTTCTCTCCTTCTCTCCTCCCCGTCTTCCCGCCCCCGCCCCTCCTCTGTTCCTTCCTCCCTCCTATCCTCCCTCCTCTCCTTCCTTCCCCCCTCCCTCCCTCCCTCCGCCCCTCTCTCCTTCGCTCCCTCCCTCCCAGCACTTTCCCCTTCTACTCTCGTCCGCCTGTCTTCCCTGTCTCGCCTAACTCCTTTCTCCTTGTTCTTTTTCTCCGCATCCGCCCCCTTAGAACCCTTCTGTCCTCTCCCTTCCCCGTTCTTCTCTTTAATCCTCTCATCCTTTCTATCGTCCCTCGCCCCGCTCCCTGCCTCCGCAACGGCCGCGTCTCCAGCGGATCGCATCCCTTCCCCAGCATCCCCAGGCGAAGCATCCCCCACGCGCGGCGACACAAGCCCGCCCGCGCCAGGCGAGCGCTCAATGGCGGAGCGCCATTGGTTGGCGCTCTTGTCCTTCCCGCCGAGGCAAAGACTAAGGTCAGCCGTCTCTCCAGCCCTTCGATCAACGAAGCTCGCCTGGACCAGCTTCTTCTGTCGCCGCCGCAGCAGCTGCTGCTTCTGCTTCTCCTCTTGCTGCTGCTGCTTCTCCGAAATCTTGTCCTCCTCTCCCTTCTGTTCCCCCTTCACTTTTCCGTCACCCTGCCCCACCGCCATCCCCTCACTCGACAGGGCTCCCCCGAGGTCCGTCGCATCCGCGCTCGCTCGTCGCGCGCGCGCAGAAGTGCTGCGCGAGGGATGCGTTCTCCCCCCCACTGCTACGCTCGCGGGACTTGCGAAAGCGCTCGAGACCTTGCGCCCGCGCGGGCTGGGCGCATGGGGAGCGTCCGCCACGGAAGCTGCGCTTGTGCTGGAAAATGTGCCACCTGGGGAAACCCCTTCCACCCCGCCGGTTTTCCGAATGTTAAACGAGCGCAAGCGCTCGTGCGCCCAATCCGCGGCGGTGAAGGCGTCCGCGTCGGACTGCGCGCGGCGGTGGCCCGCGGACTCTATGCGGAGCCTTCCCGCCGCTTGCGCCGCTGGCGCTTTGGCTGCATCAACTGCTCTGGGCATTAAATTTATTCCCCACTCGGCAATGCTGCCTCCGCCGCTGTTGCTGGTGGTGACGATGATGCTGCTGCTAGTGCTGCTGCTGCTGACGATGACGCTGCTTCCGCTATTACTGCTGGTGCGAGGGATCGATTCTCCGTGCTTTTCGTTCGGGAGAGGGCTACTGGGCGAATCGAGGTGTATTTCCGGGAAAGACGCGCGTTTTCTGTGCTGCTGCTGCTGCTGTAGCGTGGGAGGAGGTCGCTGAAAGCTAGCCAGTCGCCGATACCCAATCTCACGACTGGTGCTTTCCTGACGGTCAAACGGTTTCTGTCGGGTTTCCACATGCGAGAAGCTTTCCTGACGAATATATCGAACCTGACGGCCACGCGGCTCCTCTGGGTGAACCTGACGGTCAACACTGTCGTGGCCATTCAAGCTCTCTTGTATGTTAAAGCTCTTCTGACGGTCACTATAGCTCTCTTGTCGGTTGAAACTCTCCTGACGGCTATCGCTCCCCTGTAGGTCGTGAACCGAACAATTTCCCGAGCTAACAGCGAAGCGGGATGCTGATGCGGGAATTGCTCTCCGTTCCCGCGATACTATCACAGACCCCTCATGCGCGCTGCGAGATTTCCCTGATGGATGCCTCTTAATCTTTTCATTGACACCTAGGGCGTGTTCAAGTGATGTGGTCCTCTTCGTCGTCGTCGTCGCCCGGCTCTCGCTGGTTCCAGAGCCGTCATTGCTGACGGGGTCGTCCGATTGCTCGGATTCTTCGTCTTGACGACCGTCTTGTTCATGCGTCGCCGGAGGGGCATTCGAAATGGTAGAACTAGAAGTACTAGTGCGTCTACTACTCCGTGCATTAGTAGTACTAGACGTGCTAGTGCGTGTACTACTAGTAGAACTACCGGATGTTCTACGTGTGGTAGTACTTGTAGTGACCTGGCTTCGGGTGACTTGCGGTCGAACGGCCCGCAGATTAGTAATGCTGTCGTTCGTAGCTACTGTAGCAAGCACTGCGTCGCTGTCGTCATCATGACGTTGATCGTGGAGGTCAGATAAGGTAAATTGCGGAGAGGCCGTCCGACGTGGCGATCTAGGAACGTCATCAGGAAAGGTAACTTGCGGAGAGACCATCCGACGTGGCGATTTAGGAGCCTGCAACTCCGGGGTGCTGAAGATGTTGAACGACGTGGACCCACGTGGACTCTTAGACGGTGCTACGCGACGCGGCGATGGAAGCGACGGTTCGTAAATCTGAATCGTAACTCCATTGCGCGATTCCTTCCTGGACTGATCGCGAGAGATTAACGCTGATTCTTCTCGCTGGTTAGCGACTGACTGGGACATTGCGTAAGGAAGGCGAGCAGTTTGCAAGTCTAATGTTAAAAAGCTGCGGTTTCGAATCTATGACCAGATTTGCTGGACTAAAGATGCTCTAAAGGAAAATATATTAACAGAGTCATCAGCCATGAGAATTAGGAAAACAACTTCGCATTGGTATGAGTATGAGCTATCCTGCTGTTATGATTCGAGTCAGGGAACCAAGTGTTGCTGAAGACCTATGAGCAAGCAGGACTGAAATACAAGTGAGCTTTGTTCTACTGAACTGGCTCTTCTCATCCGCCAATAGTCAAATGAGACGTAAGTCCTTAATTGTCGAATCTGGAAGGATACGGTACGTGTACACTGTACATATGCGTCGCAGTTGTGTGCGAATTTTTTACTGAACCCGAATCTGGAAGGATACGTGTAATGTAGGTTGTGCGAAATCATTCGCGTGTGCGAAAACAGTGGAAGGGAGGGGAGGTTGGCGGCGAATTGGTAACACCTGAAAACTTCCTCAGAACCAACCTTAATTGGAGATTTTACTTCGCACGTGGTAGACACAAACGTATAAGAGTAGAAGTTATGCAGTAACGGGCTTCGCCACAGAGAGCAGAGATCCATTTAATTTGTTGAGTTTTAGGGCGTGTCCGATCCGAAGTGGGATGTAGATGGATGTCAGCCCTCAGAATCCTGACGGTCGGAACCCTCGATCTGAGGGCTCACATTTGCTGACTTCCCAAAATTTGTCGACGCATGTCGACGCTCACTTCGGAGACCTCCTAGGAACATCCGAGCACATTCGCCACTTCAAACACTGGTGGGCAAAAAAGCTACGCTCTAAGACACAAACTCGTGATCGAGTGGGGCTTAGGGTGATTGCCACCTCCTCGCCTGCCCTCGCACCTCGCGGGGCCTCGAGCCGCTAAGGAACCCCGCCTCTTCGCTCCTCCCGTGTGCGGAGATAACTCTATCAACGGGAGCTAGACTACAGGCTAGGCACTGGGTAGGAGGGATCTCTGCGTTCGTTCACTTAGTCGTTCTCTAGCACTTGTGCGTTCACAGGGTAAAAACCGCAAGGGTTTCACTAGCAAAAGTTTTTGGTACAATAGATAGCAACTAGATTGGCAAGATAGACTACATCAGAAGCCTAGCATACAAGTCGACCACCAGCTCAGCACGAAGGCGACTTGTCAGCTAGTCGACCTCAGGCGTCCTCAGGCGTCCTCAGTCGACCTGCAAGGCTGGCGTGCCAGCACACCAACAACAGGCCACCACAGGTCACCATACGTGCTCATGTGCGCGCACCTACTTCGCAGGTGCGAGGTGACGGTAACGACATGCACCGCCTCGCACATTGCGCAGGTGCCAAGTCGACCACCTGTCGACGGTTGCACCTGAGGAGTCATGCCGACCACGTGCCACTGAACCGCAGGTCGGCATTGCCAATCTACCTGGGCGACCATCGCGAACCTCGCAGACCTCGTCGTCCGGGTAACCTGGTCAACCAGGCAACCATGTCGACCAGGTGTGTCATCCCAGGCCCGTCGACCGCCCAGGTTGACGACCACCACATGTCGACCACACCAGGTCGACCACTCCCCTGGTCGACCAACTCCAGGTCGACCAGTATACGTGTCAGCCGACCACACCCAGTCGGCTTCCCCTGGTCGGCGTCACCCAAGTCGATGCCCTCCACTGGTCGACCTCCCAAGTCGACCAGCCGAAGTTGGCGCCCTCCCAAAGTCGGTGCCCTTGCAGTGGCCCTTGTGCAGGTCGACCAAACCCATCGACCAGCTCGCCCACTGTTGCAGGTCGGCTGCACTCCTCACACCCGACCCCGAGGTCGGCTCCGCCCAAGCGAGGACGGGGCCAACAACAACTCCCGTTGATACCGTGCCATGGTCGCGCCTCCTCTACTGGCTCCCCACCTCGTCGCGCCTCCCCTACTCGCTCCCCGCCTCGTCTTGCCTCCCCTAGTCACTCCCCGCCTCGTCGCGCCTCCCCTATTCGCTCCCCGCCTCATCGCGCCTCCCCTAGTTGCTCTCCGCCTCGTCGTGCCTCCCCAAGTTGCCCCCCCCCCCTCATCGCGCCTCCCCTCCTTTCGTCGCGAGCCCCCTCCATCCGTCACGCCTCGTCTCGCCTCCACCACCCCCATCGCGCGCCTCCATTCATTCGCGCCTACCCTGCTTTCGTCACGGCTCCCCTCCCCTCGTAACTCCTCCACACTCTACACCTTTCCGCGCCTCCCCTCCCCTCGTCGCTACGCCTCCACCCATTCCGAGCCTCCCCTCCCTTGGTCAAGTTTTTCTTATCTGCTCTAAGCACTCATCACTTTTGACCACTTGTGCATGCCCACCTACATCCCTATCTGGCACAATGTAAGGAAATTTCCTTTTCCTTACTTCGCGCCCCTACTTACCGCGTACGACTGTTCGCGCCACCAGCACCCAATGGTAAAACGTTACCCGTTCGCGACACTCGCCTCGACCACTGTTCCCGCCACTGTACACCTCGCAACCCAACCTCACGGTTTGGTTGGTAACCCGCGCTCCGGTCCTCCGCCTCGACATTTCCCAACCTTGGAGCTAGGCCCGTAGCGCACCCCAATTTATCGCGTTACCGTTACCACTCGAGCTTTGCTATATATCCTTCGCTCATGCCTTCGCTCAATGTACTGTTTTGCTTCGATAGTGCAATTCTCGCTCGCTCGCCCAATTGCACTTGTAACACTTGGTATCAGAGCCTATGATCTCTTCTCGGATCGCACCCACACCTTCGCTTCCCCACTATCTCAATTTTTGGAGGGGGTAGACGTCTCTCAGCGACCAAGCACCGCCGCTCGAGTGCTCTCTTGTAAGCACGCACGGCCACGACTGAGGCTCTCGCTGAGCTCGCCCGACACCCCTGCCATGGCCGAAATTAATCTCGCGACATTGACGCAGGAGCAGCCCGACCGGCTCGTACGTCAACTCGAAGATTCGACGCTCGAAATCGCGACACTCACGGCGGAACGCGACTCCGCCCGCCAGCAATCAACAGCGAATGCACTAGCACCGACATCTGCAAATGAATCTACACAATCGAATGAGCCGATTGTCATCTCATCCGGCACGCCGACACATCACGACAGCGTGGGAGAGCGTTCAGGCACAGCCACTGATGGCGCCGCCCAGTCAATGCCTGGCATGGAGAGAAACAGGGCCGCACCAAGCACGAATGGGCCTCGCGAAGCCCGCCGTCACGTCGAATTTGCAGCGACGATCGGCAACAACGGCATCGGCGCACCAATGTCGCTCAAGACGCAGCGCCCGCCCTGTTTCGACCCTAGCCAACACAGAGGTCCGACGGTTCAATTGTGGGTCTTCACGATGAACTTGTTTTTTGATGCTAATTACGTCACATCGGACGCATCGAAATTCAGATACGCGGTTTCGCTGTTACGGGGGCCCGCCATGGACTGGTGGCTGTCAAACTAACGAACGAGAATGGATCAACTATGAAACAGTTGGGTACAAGTACTAACCCTAATTGGGTTGTACCCCTTATGGGCTACCCCACTACAGCCTACACAAATGTATAAGCTATAATGTTCTGACACACCCCCATAGGCAAAGTGGGTGGTCACAAGACCAGTCAAGAAAAGCAAAGCAAGCTCAGGGTGGATCACAAAGTCACCACACAGTCTGAGC